AGCATGTAAGTAGGCCCCACCCACAGCAGAAGGGCACACTCTAGACCTGTTAATACTAAGGGGGTGAATATTTCAAATGTAAACGTGGTCGATGTTGCGCTTTCGGATCATTTCTGTGTATTTTTTGACATGTGTTTCACTAACAAACCACCAGTGGACTCTGCAACTGTACGAAGAAGACACATAAATGAAAATACGGGTGAACTATTTATGGGAATGATAAACTTTGAGAATGCATGTATTCTACTGTAGATGAACTGTTTAACTCTGTCACCTCTAGTGTTTTGAATGTTTTCTGGACAACCATCGCTCCTGTGAAGGTTAAAATAGTGAAAAATAAGCAGAAGGCGCCGAGGGCTAAAGCAGACTCGGTCAGGGCACAAAAGAGAGAGTGCCGGAGGGCCCCGAGCGGAAGTGGCGCAAGTCCAACCTCCAGGTTGATTACGAGATCTTCAAAGATAAGTTGTGCGAGTTTAACCAGGTGCTACGTAGTACGAGAGAAAGGTATTTTTCTGAAATGATTGAAGGCTGCAGCAACAATTCTGCGTGTTCTGTTTTCAACAGTTAATAGATTAACAAACCCCCCTGTTCAGATGCCATTAGAGCTAACTTCCAAACGTAAATGTAATGAGTTTTGCACATTTTTTCAAGGACAAGGTTCAAGGCATCAAAAACGCCATTGTCTCCAATCCACAGATAACCATCCAACAGCCAGAAAGGCTCTCTGAGCTAACTCACTTTGCACCTGTAAATGATAAAACAATACTATTCGTGTCCAATACAAGCCACCGCAGTCAATGTCACAGTAGTTTTAAATTGATAGTTTATTTTACCGAGTTTGCTTCAGTGTATATGCACAGATTTTGATAGTTTGGTTATTACAGGTGATTTAATATTCATGTGGATAATGTTGATGACAGAAATGCAAATGAGCTGAGTTCTGTACTTGAATCCTTTGATCTCACTCAGCACGTAAGTGGCCCCACCCACAGCAGAGGGCACACTCTAGATCTGTTAGTTACTAAGGGGGTGAATATTTCAAATGTAAACGTGGTCGATGTTGCTCTTTCGGATCATTTTCTGTGTTTTTTTTGACATGTGTTTCACTAACAAACCACCAGTGGACTCTGCAAACTGTACGAAGAAGACACATAAATGAAAATACGAGTGAACTATTTATGGGAATGATAAACTTTGAGAATGCATCGAATTCTACTGTAGATGAACTGTTTTAACTCTGTCACCTCTAGTGTTTTGAATGTTCTGGATACCGTTGCCCCTGTGAAGGTTAAAATAGTGAAAAATAAGCAGAAGGGCGCCGTGGGCTAAAGCAGACTCGGTCAGGGCACAAAAGAGAAAGTGGCCGGAGGGCCGAGCGGAAGTGGCGCAAGTCCAACCTCCAGGTTGATTACGAGATCTTCAAAGATAAGTTGTGCGAGTTTAACCGGGTGCTACGTAGTACGAGAGAAAGGTATTTTTCTGAAATGATTGAAGGCTGCAGCAACAATCTGCGTGTTCTGTTTTCAAACAGTTAATAGATTAACAAACCCCCCTGTTCAAATGCCATTAGAGCCTACTTCCAAACGTAAATGCAATGAGTTTGCTAATTTTTTTCAATGACAAGGTTCAAGGCATCAAAAACGCCATTGTCTCCAATCCACAGATAACCATCCAACAGCCAGAAAAGGCGCTCTGAGCTAACTCACTTTGCACCTGTAAATGATAAAACTGCGCCAAGAGATAATCTCCAGTTTGAGCTCCTCCACATGCAGCTTGGATGTACTACCCACTAGATTTCTGAAGTCTGTTCTGAGCAGTCTGTTACCTTCACTCACACAGATAGTAAACATGTCCCTTCATTCTGGAATATTCCAAAGGCCCTGAAAACTGCAGTCATCAGGCCCCTGCTAAAAAAGAGCAGTCTCGATGCTACGGTACTTAACAACTATCGTCCCATCTCAAATCTGCCATTTATGGGGAAAGTCCTTGAAAAAGTTGTCTACCTACAGCTTACTAGATTTCTTATAATCAACAACTCTTTGATATGTTTCAGTCCGGCTTTAGACCCCACCACAGCACTGAGACTGCTCTCGTCAAGGTTACAAACGATATCCGGCTGAACACTGACGCAGGCAAAGTCTCAATCTTAATCTTGTTAGATCTAAGTGCTTGCCTTTGACACCGTCGACCATGAGATCCTCTTACAGAGACTAGAGGACTGGGTTGGAGTCGCTGGCACCGCCCTAAGTTGGTTTAGGTCTTACCTTGAGGACAGGAAGTACTTTTGTGGAGATTGGAAACTGTGTCTCAGATCATATGGCCCTGACCTGTGGAGTACCCACAGGGGTCGATCCTGGGACCTCTTCTGTTCAATCTCTACATGCTGCCGTTAGGTCAGTTAATACGCAGAAACAAAGTTTCCTATCATAACTATGCAGACGACACTCAGATCTATGTCTCACTGACTGCAGGAGAACATGGACCAGTGGACTCACTCCTTCACTGTATCCAACAGATCAGTGAGTGGATGCAAAACAACTTCCTTCAGCTAAACGCAGACAAAACTGAAATGATTGTCTTTGGTCCCCAGAAACAAAGAGAGAGCGTCATCTGTCACCTACAGTCTCTCTCCCTAAAACCTTCAAACAAGGTCAGAAATCTAGGGGTAATACTGGACTCAGACTTAAATTTTACTAGCCACATTAAATCAGTAACATCAGCAGCTTTTTACCACCTAAAAAACATTGCCAGGATCAAAAACATAGTGTCTAAAGCAGACCTGGAGATTCTTATCCATGCATTTGTCTCCAGTAGGTTAGACTACTGCAATGGCCTGCTCACAGGTCTGTCCAAACAGGCTGTAAAACAGCTGCAGTACATTCAAAATGCAGCAGCTCGAGTCCTGACTAGAACCAGGAAGTACGACCATATTAGTCCGGTCCTCAGGTCTCTGCACTGGCTTCCTGTGGCTCAGAGAATAGACTTTAAAACAGCTCTGCTTGTTACAAGTCTCTCCATGGCCTCGCACCAAAATATATTAGTGACATGTTAGTCCCATATGAACCAGCCCGGACTCTGAGGAGCACAGGGACTGGACTCCTGTTAGTGCCCAGAGTCAGAACTAAACATGGGGAGGCTGCTTTTCAGATTCATGCTGCTAAAATCTGGAACAGTCTTCCTGAAGATGTGAGACAGGCCTCCTCTCTGACAATGTTTAAAACCAGGTTAAAGACAGTTCTGTTTAACTGTGCATACAACTGAGGGATTTTATATTTTTATCTTTTTTAATGTTCTGTGATTATTTATGATTTTAATGCTTTCTTATTTTGTTCAGCACTTTGAATTGCCTTGTGTATGAATTGTGCTATACAAATAAACTTGCCTTGCCTTGCCTTGCCTAGGCTGTAGAAAAAGGAACGATGTGGTGCATAACTCATTACAGGCAGTGTTGGGCACGTTACTTTGAAAAAGTAATTAGTTATAGTTACTAGTCACTTCTCCCAAAAAGTAACTGAGTTACTAACGGAGTTACTCCACTATAAAAGTAACTAGTTACCAGTAAAAGTAACTACTGCGTTACTTTTTCGTTTTGTTCTGGAACATAATGTGCACTCGACGTGCACATGTTGACCTTTAACCTCAGTGAGTTTGAAATATTGCCAATATTTCTATCTAGAAAAGGCTGTTTTGCTGCTGGAGTCCTCCTCACTCTCCATCTCTCTCTGTGCTGTAAGCACTAAACACCAACACCCGCCACTGTGAATGTGGAAACACCGGTGAAGCACTGACTTCAGCCCAATCAGATGAACATATATATCATATAAATCAACTGGACCTAGAGAGCGGCATATTTGGTTGGCTACAGCAGAAGATGTTTCATGCCCGCATTGTTTGTTCATACAAAACGCAAAACTATGAGTTATGGGTCTTACCTTATAAATGACCTGCACAGGCCACTTAGGTTCAGACCAGTTTTGTGTTTAAGTCCAGATAATAGTTTGAGCGTAGATATGTAATCCTCCATTTGTAAATAAGTCCAATGAGTTTTAAAAAGTAAAACAAAACGCGTGTCCTCCATAAACTCCTCTGTTTTGCTGCAGCCGGGTGCATCCAATTTCTAAAATCAACAGTCTTACACTTCACCTCTCTTTCTTATCATTCCTATAGTCATTAAAAAATTACCCTAAGTGCATTTTAATTTATCTTAAAATGTGTTATATGTATGTTAGCCAAACCTGTTGCAGCCCTTAGCAGATAAACCAGGAAGAGAAAGGAGCTTATCAATGGAATTGTATGCAGCCGACTTCTGCGTTCACTTGCGCTCCTCTGAGGCCTCACGGTGATACAAGCCGTGGTTGAGCGCGATTAAGACCCATATTTGTTTCAAAAACACAAAATATGAGCCATCCTCTCAACTGTAGACATGTAGATTGTAAAGGAAATATGTTTTACATAATAAAACTAAAGCTAATAATTGCTGCGAGGGTTTTTCATCCTCCCTTCTCTCATGACAACACGCGCACAAGTTCTATCACGAAGTAAAAAGAGAAGTTCATTGTGCGGCTTGAGTAACGCGCAGTAACGGGATGTCGGCAATGATAACGGAGTTATAGTTACAGTCAAAGTAATTAGTTAGATTACTCGTTAATGAAAAAAGTAATGCCGTTATTCCCATCACTGATTACAGGCCGGGGAGGACAGTCCGCAGGTGCTGATGGGGGAGGCTGGGTTCAGGGGTACCATCCTCACGCCATGAAATGGGACAGTGGGTGAATCGCAATGAACAGACTACAGCTGAACATACTTTGACTTGTCAAAGTAGGAAGAGGAGAGGACAGTGTAAAAGGGAACTCCAGGACTCTGCATTAGCTTGTAGGATTGTCAGGCTTTTTCGCTGCTATCTCAGAATGTGTATTTCACTAAGAACCAAAGCAACCTTCTTAGACTCTGCTACTGTTTCTGGTCCCGTCTGCAGACTGCAGCAGCTCCTGAGGGCCTCCATGACGCAGCCCTTGACCCCTGCCTGCTTCTCCGAGGACGTTGAGCCGGTGCCGGAGGACGTGGTGCCCGAGGAGTGGGACGACCCCGTGAGCGAGAGGCTGACCGCGGCCTGGGAGAGCGAGGTGGGCTGGCACCTGTGGTGGTCCGAGAACCTGTGCGCAGACCGAGAAAGAAGGACCAAGGCACAGAGGCAGAAGCGCAGGAGAGAGAAGGAGCAGAGGAGGGCCCGTGGACGCAGCCTGCTGGACATGTCGGGCAGCTTCACCTCCTCCATCACCTACCAGGTATGTAGACACAGACTGTAGACTATGGAGAGACTATGTTTCAATGGAAAAAGCTGCTGGAAAGTGGACACAAGACAACTGAGCACAAGGCCAGTCCCAGCACAAGGCCAGTCCCAGCACAAGGCCAGTCCCAGCACAAGGCCAGTCCCAGCACAAGGCCAGTCCCAGCACAAGGCCAGTCCCAGCACAAGGCCAGTCCCAGCACAAGGCCAGTCCCAGCACAAGGCCAGTCCCAGCACAAGGCCAGTCCCAGCACAAGGCCAGTCCCAGCACAAGGCCAGTCCCAGCACAAGGCCAGTCCCAGCACAAGGCCAGTCCCAGCACAAGGCCAGTCCCAGCACAAGGCCAGTCCCAGTGCTCCTCAGAGTTGGTTCATATGGCACTAACATCACAGATGTCACAGATTTGGTGCGAGGCCATGGAGAGGCTTGAACACAAGCAAAGTTTTAAAGCCTGTTCTTTGAGCCACAGGAAGACTTTAAAGAGCGACTAAACACCAAATCAACTTTTTTTAACTCATAAACTGCATAAGTATGTTTATTGTAGTGCTGTCTACATATCCTGGTCATTTTTTTGACATTTTAGTTCAAATTAGATAAAATATCACTTTTGAGCCAAAAAACGCTGTGTGGTGCCCTCTCAACCTTTTTGGTGGTACTACATTTGAATTTGGTTCTGGCCTCTCCATTGACTCTGAAGTTCTCTATGACATCAGTTGTTTTGTGTGACGTCAGTCTGTCAGAGCCAGTGATGTGAACCCATTGAACTCTCACACACGCCCCAGCTGCAGTTAGGAGTGTTCTGGCGCCATCTAGTGGATTAAAATTAAATTACATGAGTGATTCTGAGATTATTGAGTGTGATTAGGTTCCAATACCTGACCTTTCGGTCAGGTATTGTTTCGCACAAGGTCCTTTATGGACACATTTTGGTTCTTTTTTTTCATTTTATTTTTACTTTCTTGTTGTAAAAAGTAAATGTGAGCTCTGTATCCGTGTGACCCGAGGTCGGGTGTACATATTGACCGAGGAAAAAAATAAACTAACTAACTAACTAACTAATTAGGTTCAGGTGTGTAGCTTTACAATAATCTTAGTGTGTAAACAAGGGTTGAATGAGACTTTCTGGTCTGTAAACTATTGCTTTAAGCAGCAATGACAACTGTCTGTTTTTTTTTTGTGTGACAAGTGAGCTGTCAATCACAGCCCAGACCACGCCCAACTCTAAGCCCCCCTTCTTGTCCCTTGGTCCTCCAGGCAACGCCCTTTTTAGAGAAAATTTTCAAATCTTCATGTGGGCGGAGTAAGGGTGGGCACAGGTGTTTAGTCGCTCTTTAAGTCTGATCTCATTAATACTCTTAGATTTCTGACTTGGTGTGAAGGTTTTAGCGAGAGAGACTGGAGGTGACCGGTAACTCTCTGCTTCTGGAGATCAAAGACAATCATTTCAGTTTGCATCCACGCCCTGATCTGTTGGATGCAGTGAAGATTGAGACCACTGGTCCATGTTTTCTCTTTAGGACTGAGTCTGGTCCATGTCCTCCTGTAGGACACTTTATTACTGCATATTAACTGACCTGGAGGCTGAAGGGTCCCAAGGTTGACTCTTGTGGAACTAATGTATATAATGTATGTTTATTGTTCCCAGTCGGAGCTGAGCGACTGGGGAGGGTCGGACAGCGCCGGGCCGGGCACTCAGTCTGAAGACGCGGACGATCAACGGAGGAGGATCTCAGAGGATGAAGAGGAGGGATCATCCGCTCAGTGTCGCTCCGCTGACATCAGACCACAGAAGCTCCAGACACAGGTATTAACCATCCATGTGGACTTTAGTCTGATGTCAGTATTTTAATTGAGAGTTTAATGGAGCTTTCTACATACTATAGTTGTCTTCTATAGAAACAAAGCTAAAGTGGATTTAAACCTTCATGTGATTTCTGTGGTGTAACTATAGACTGGGAACACATAGACAATGACTCCCAATCAGGAACTCCTCTAGCTCAGTAATCATTTGTGCTCACACTCACCATTTTCGGCTTAAAAAACCTTTTAGCACGCTCTGTGGTACTGATGTTAATATTGTCTTTGTAAATCTCTGTAAATCCAGTTTCATTCACGGACCAAACAGCAGCTCATAGAGACTGAACAGCAGAGGTCCCAGGGTCGACCCTTGTGGCAGCGAATGTATATGATGTTTAGTAAATGTTCCCAGTCGGAGCTGAGAGAAATGTTTTCATCGGTTTTGAAAGCAATTATTGAAAAATGAATCTAATAATGTCTCATATTTTTCAGTCCACTCAGCCCTCATCCTCCGCCCTCGACCTCAGCAGAGAGGCCTTCAGATGGTCCCAAAGCTTACAGACAGCCCCCCAGTCCCAAACCACTCTCCGGGTCCAGTCCCAATCCTCACAAAGACCGTCCCAGACCACTCCCCAGTCCCAGAGAGATCCACAGCCCTCACAAAGACCGTCCCAGAGAGATCCACAGCCCTCTCAAAGACCAACCCAGTCCCTGACCACTCCCCAATCCCAGAGAGATCCTGGGATTTCCCAAAGACTAGCCCAGTCCTCACAGAGACCAGCCCAGTCTCACTCCTCAAAGAGACTATTCCAGACTACTCCTCAGTCCCAGAGAGAACCACAGACCTCACAAAGACAAGCTCAGACCACTCCTCAGTCCCAGAGAGATCCCGGGCTTTCCCAAAGACTAGCCCAGTCCCAGTCCTCAAAGAGACCGGCCCATTCCCAGTCCTCACAGAGACCGACTCAGTCTTCACAGCCCAGAAAAAAGTCTCGGATGGGGTTTTAGAGTGAATACTGCCAAGGATGTTATATAAACTGCAAGCAGCAAAACGTTCGACACACTGTTTTTCTAAAAGTTGTTCAGTTGACAATCTGTGAAACCAGGAGAGGATGGACTCCAAGACAAAGAAAAGATAGAATAACTGGTAGACTTTCTGATCATTTGTTTCTGACTGACTAATGATAAGTAATAAATATCTCCATACATCCATTTTCTTCCCCTTAATCCATTTATGGGTCAGGGGGTGGCCCAGCTGCCGCCCAGTACACATAGCACCAGCCTCTCACAGATCCTCCTGCAAGTGGTGAGGCCACAGGAGGAAGGCTGCTCTGTCAGAGTGAGCATAGCCTTGATCTTTCAGCGGGGGCTTCTGGCAAAGTTGGGTTAAGTGTCTTGCCCCAAAACACAAGGACAGCAGACATCATTTAGAGTCGGTGGAGTGGGTCACATGGTGGCCTTCAACCCACAACCTTAGGCTCAAATGCCAATGCTCTACCAATTGGGTCACTGTTGATCTGTGTGTAATAAATGTCTATTAAAATGAAAGATGCAAGCGGCGATGAAAGCCCTGGCCACTCTTGCGACCGCCTCCCAGGCAGCAGTCCCATACGCGGCCTACGGTGTACATTCCGATGAATTCGCAGCCTGATCGGACCAGGATTACACACAAAATCGCTAATTTAAAGGATCCAGTGTGCCCCTAGTGGTCAACCTTGGGACATGCACCTTCTGCGTAATGTAATTTTTTGTTCGAATGAATGTTAAGATTTGATCCAGCTACTTTGGTGCAGGTTTGAGGTGTCCCATAGGTGGCGCTCTCAAGTTCATATTCAGATTCAGATTCAAGTTCATATTGTGTGTGTATTTTCACAGTATTACGCTTCATAACTTATCACAGTTATGAAACAATAATAATATAAATAGGGCATTAAACATTCTCCTACTAACTAACCCCAACCCTGATAGATTTTTTAAAACATCTTTTTTGGAATTACAAGGCCCTTCCTGAGTTAATAGAATTTAAAATAATTCGGCCGATTCACTTTGAGCGACACTATTTTGGGTTTGGGAAATACAGTGCCTTGCGAAAGTATTCGGCCCCCTTGAACCTTTCAACATTTTGCCACATTTCAGGCTTCGAACATAAAGATATAAAAATGTAATTTTTTGTCAAGAATCAACAACAAGTGGGACACAATCGTGAAGTGGAACGAAATTTATTGGATAATTTAAACTTTTTTTACAAATAAAAAACTTTAAATTAAAGTGGGGCGTGCAATATTATTCGGCCCCCTTGCGCTAATACTTTGTAGCGCCACCTTTTGCTGCAATTACAGCTGCAAGTCGCTTGGGGTATTTATCAGTTTTGCACATCGAGAGACTGGAATTCTTGCCCATTCTTCCTTGCAAAACAGCTCGAGCTCAGTGAGGTTGGATGGAGAGCGTTTGTGAACAGCAGTCTTCAGCTCTTTCCACAGATTCTCGATTGGATTCAGGTCTGGACTTTGACTTGGCCATTCTAACACCTGGATACGTCTATTTGTGAACCATTCAATTGTAGATTTGGCTTTATGTTTTGGATCATTGTCCTGTTGGAAGATAAATCTCCGTCCCAGTCTCAGGTCTTTTGCAGACTCCAACAGGTTTTCTTCCAGAATGGTCCTGTATTTGGCTCCATCCATCTTCCCATCAATTTTAGCCATCTTCCCTGTCCCTGCTGAAGAAAAGCAGGCCCAAAGCATGATGCTGCCACCACCATGTTTGACAGTGGGGATGGTGTGTTCAGGGTGATGAGCTGTGTTGCTTTTACGCCAAACGTATCGTTTTGCACTGTGGCCAAAAAGTTCGATTTTGGTTTCATCTGACCAGAGCACCTTCTTCCACATGTTTGGTGTGTCTCCCAGGTGGCTTGTGGCAAACTTTAAACGAGACTTTTTATGGATATCTTTGAGAAATGGCTTTCTTTTTGCCACTCTTCCATAAAGGCCAGATTTGTGCACGACTGATTGTTGTCCTATGGACAGACTCTCCCACCTCAGCTGTAGTTATCTGCAGTTCATCCAGAGTGATCATGGGCCTCTTGGCTGCATCTCTGATCAGTCTTCTCCTTGTTTGAGATGAAAGTTTGGAGGGACGGCCGGACTTGGTAGATTTGCAGTGGTCTGATACTCCTTCCATTTCAATATAATTGCTTGCACAGTGCTCCTTGAGATGTTTAAAGCTTGGGAAATCTTTTTGTATCCAAATCCGGCTTTAAACTTCTCCACAACAGTATCTCGGACCTGCCTGGTGTGTTCCTTTGTCTTCATGGTTCTCTCTGCGCTTTAAACAGAACCCTGAGACTATCAAAGAGCAGGTGCATTTATACGGAGACTTGATTACACACAGGTGCATTCTATTTATCATCATCAGTCATTTAGGACAACATTGGATCATTCAAAGATCCTCACTGAACTTCTGGAGTGAGTTTGCTGCGCTGAAAGTAAAGGGGCCGAATAATATTGCACGCCCCACTTTTCAGTTTTTTATTTGTTAAAGTTTAAATTATCCAATAAATTTCGTTCCACTTCACGATTGTGTCCCACTTGTTTATAATTTATTAATTATAATTTTTTTATAGCTTTATGTTTGAAGCCTGAAATGGGTCAAAATGTTGAAAGGTTCAAGGGGGCCGAATACTTTCGCAAGGCAATGTAGGTCTTCCTGGACTGGTCGACAAAGAAGCAAGAGAAATGTTCTGGATTACTCAGTAGAGACCTGTGTTTCCTCTGGCCTGAATGAGAGAGAAGGGTTTACACTTTTATTTTTTGTGGAGATGACACAGTGGGATTTGTGTCCAGATGATTCTTGCCATAGATATAAGGACGCGTGTCTGCATTTTATTGTTCCAAGTCTTACTGAATGAACAATACAACAATCTTTTATTGTGTGCCTAACCCTGCTTTAGTTTGCTGTAGTTTGGCTCGTGGGATGATGTACCTTTTGTCTGTCGGCCTTTGTGCTGATAACAATCACAACAATAAGCGTGCTTTATTACCTGAGCTGCACCTGCCTTTTTCCTCATCAACAAAGTCAAACATCAATCAAAAGGAATGGAATTTTTGTTTAAATAGAGTTAACCTTTATTTTAGAAGGATAACACAGGGGGGCAAATACATCACAGCAACAATGAAGACAAAATAAATCTGGTTAGGGTTAGAGGGATTGAGGGTTTGGGAAATAGCACTGAAACCAGTGATTCTGTGCTGGAGTATATGACATTATTATAGAATATCACCGGTAAACTTTAAACCTTTCATTTTCATTCTACAAAATGAAACCTAAACAAAACTAAAATGAAAACAAAAAGGTGCAAGAATAACCCTAACTCTGACCCTGCGAAGCAAAGTGTTCATATAGGTTTTTATCACATCTGAGATCTGCTCTCACACAACACCCAAAACATGTACGCAAAATATGTTCCCAGTAGGAGTATCTACAATCAAACAACAAAACTCAAGTAAGACAACGGTAGATGGCGAGAAGAGACGGAAGTGAGAGGAAACCTATGTTCGTGAGCGAGTGGGGGGGCGAGGCGCTCAGAACAGATGTCGATGTTGTTGCCATGGAGACATCAGTCATCCCTGCAGCAGCAGTAGTAATAGTATCTCTGGCTGTTGTAGTAGGAGTATCTTTGGCGGCAGTAGTAGTAGTAGGAGTATCTTTGGCGGCAGTAGTAGTAGGAGTATCTTTGGCGGCAGTAGTAGTAGGAGTATCTTTGGCTGCAGTAGTAGTAGGAGTATCTTTGGCGGCAGTAGTAGTAGAAGTATCTTTGGCTGCAGTAGTAGTAGGAGTATCTTTGGCGGCTGTAGTAGTAGGACTATCTTTGGCTGCAGTAGTCATAGAAGTATCTTTGGCTGCTGTAGTAGAAGGAGTATCTTTGGCGGCAGTAGTAGTAGAAGTATCTTTGGCTGCAGTAGTCGTAGAAGTATCTTTGGCGGCAGTAGTAGTAGTAGTATCTTTGGCTGCAGTAGTAGTAGTAGTATCTTTGGTTGCAGTAGTAGTAGAAGTATCTTTGGCTGCGGTAGTAGTAGAAGTATCTTTGGCTGCAGTAGTAGTAGAAGTATCTTTGGCTGCAGTAGTAGAAGGAGTATCTTTGGCCGCAGTAGCAGTAGTAGTACTAGTCACAAGTGCAAGAGAGGCTTCTGAAACAATAGCATAATTTATAGATATTTATTACTTATTAGTTCTTCTACAGAAATTGATGTTAGGAGCCAATAGGAGAAGGGTTAGAGAAAGATGCTACTCACCAGCCAATAGGATAAGGGTTAGAGAAAGATGCTACTCACCAGCCAATAGGAGAAGGGTTAGAGAAAGCTGCTACTCACCAGCCAATAGGAGAAGGGTTAGAGAAAGATGCTACTCACCAGCCAATAGGAGGAGGACAAAGACTGAACGCTTCATTTTTACAATCTTCAGACTGTTGGACACAAGGATCAGAGTCAGGAACGTACTTTCATGAGTCCAGAAGCATTGAGGTCTGATTAGCTTTTAGTGTCTGCGAAAAAACACCCCATTATCCCAACTCTATCCAAACCTTACCCCAACTCTATCCCAACTATATCACAACCATATCCCAACTCTATCCAAACATTATCCCAACCCTATTCCAACCCTACCTCAACTCTCTTCAAACCATACCTAAACCTTAAAATAACTTGCCTTACCCCAACCCTATCCCAACTTCATCCCAACCCTATCTCAACCCTATCCCAGCCTTATCCCAACACTTATCGTGACCTTATCCCAACCCTGTTCCAACCATATCCCAACTCTACACCAAACGTATCTCAACCCTATCTCTACTCCATCCCAACCTTATCCCAACCCTGTCCCAACTCTACCTCAACCCTCATTGTGACCCGTTACAACCACAGTCTGCAATTCAACTCTAACTTCTTTCTAACTTAAATCATACTTTATACTTCAATTCCCGGAACACCTGGAGCTTAGTAAATCCTGGAACACCTGG